AGCGTGTAGATCTTCTGAGGAAGATTTCTACTTTATTTTAAGTATATCAGGTCAATGTACCTGTCCGTTTTAGCTTTACTCATGGTCAAAGTTATCGTAGACCGGATTTTCACGACACATGCATCTTTAGTCGAATTCTGGGTTATAATGGGTTATTGGCATACATGAGATTGTAGACCTTCTGAGGAAGATTTGGGTTTCATTTGTCGTATATCAGATCAATCTACCCCCCCGTTTTAGCTCTACTCGGGGCCAAGTAATCGTAGACCGGATTTGCATACTACGCTTCTCTTGTCTAGCGGAGACCTACGTATTGTCTGTGTACCTTCTTATACTAACAAAATAATATTTTCTTCGTATGGACTACATATAAAATCATCTAAAGCTAATGGTGAGCAAACCGGATTTCCACGACACGACGTTGACTATTTTCACGTTAATGAATCAATGCATGATAATCTGAAGCTATTCGTCACTTGTCCGGATTTCTACAACACGGCATTAACTATGACTAACAGAGGGTATTCGTTCGTAGAATTGCTTTTCTGTAGGACAATAATTAGATTTTGTCCTTAGGGAAACGAATGCCATGAAATTTATGTTTTTGAGGTCGCTGAATTCTAATCTGGAGTATGTTTGACCTTGCTCGACTCAGAGTCAAGGTTAGGTCATGGTCAAATCCAAAAAATGCATTGAATGAATCCGAATTTAAGGTTTATCTGATCAATAACCCCCTAATATTTTTATGGCAACGTTTTCAACCCCCTAATAACCCTCTAATAAACCCCGTAATATGAACTGTGCTATGAACCCCTTAATCACCCAATGACGATGCTATAAACCCCCAATAACGTAATAACAGTGCTATCAACCCCCGAATAAACCCCTAATCACGCCCTAATATGAACTATGTTATGAACCCCCTAAAACCCCAATGGCAATGCTATGGCCCCTTGAAACAAATGGCAATCCTATCAACCCGAACCCCCTAATAACTCACCCCCCCTAATAACTCCCTAATATGAACTATGCTAATAACCCCCTTAATGGCGCAATGGAAATGCTAAAACGCCCCTAATGAATCCATGGCAATCCTATCAGCCCCCTAATAAGCCCCCTATAAATTTTCCCCTAATAACCCTCTAATATAAACTAAGCAAATAAACCCATAATAACGCATTAACATTGCTAGAAACCCCCTAATTAACCAATAGCAATGCTATCAACCACATTATGTCAGATGCTTCAATGTTATCAATTTATTCAATTGTGGAATCGTTTCCTTTTTTCGTCTATGCTTCTGGTTCCTGACTTTCTCTTATGCTGTAGTCCATCATCTTTACGTTTCAGAGCCCATTAGTAGTTAGCTAACATATTAACATTCCATCTACCTTGATACCTTCTTTCCATCTCTTGGAATTCTTGATGGAATCTTTCTCCTTGCTCCTAACTTAGATCTTCAAGATTCTCAAGAAAAGAATTTAAATGAGAATTCAGGAAGTGTACTTTTTAACACAAGTTAGAACCAAACTCTTTGAAACTGGTAAGCATATTTTGAACGACTATGTGATAATTTTCGACTTTTCTATTTCCCAAAAATCCTTCTACAACCGCTGTAAAATTCACCCATGCAGCCTTCTCTTTTCTTGTCATTGTTTCTTGAAAATCAGCCGATTTCATCATCTTTCTTATATTTGGACCTATGAAAATACCTTTCTTGATTTTTGCATTAGATAATTCTCGGAATTTATTCAATAAGTAGTGGAAGCATTTTCCATTCTGATCAAGGGCTTTAACGAATTGCTTAATTAATCCTAATTTTATGTGAAGGGGAGGTAAAATTTTTTTTTTGAATCACACAATGTTCTCAAAAAACCCTTGTGGGATCCTTGGGGAACTTTATAGAGGGGCTTATTAGGAGGTTGATAGGCTTGCCATTGACTCATTAGGTGCGTTATAGCATTGCCATTGCGCTATTAAGGGGATCATAGAACCGTTTATATTAGGGGGTTACTACGGGGGTGATATCACTGCCATTGCGTCATCAGGGGGTTATTATTATAGTTCATATTAGGGGGTTATTAGGGGGGGGGTGAGTTATTAGGGGGTGAGTTATTAGGGAGTTGATAGGATTGCCATTGGGTTCTAGGGGGCCGTAGCATTGCCATTAGGGTTCTAGGGTGTGCATAACATAGTTTATATTAGGGGGTTGTTATGAGTTGATAGCACTGTTATTACGTTATTGGGGGGTTTATAGCATTGTTATTGTGTGATTAGGGGGTTCATAGCATAGTTTATATTACGGGGGTTATTAGGAGGTTATTAGGGGGTTGCTAACATTGCCATAGAAATATTAGGAGGCTATTGGTCTGATAAACCTTAAATTCGGATTCATTTAATGCATTTTTTGGATTTGACCTTGACCTAACTTTGACTCTGAGCCGATCAGGTCAAATAATAATCTTGATTTGACCTTGATCTGACATTGACCCCTGAGCTATGATTCGTGGATTCGGATTCAGCAACCCCACAAACATAAATGTCATGGTATTATCTTTTGCACATATGACTTTTTTCGTGGGGCTGTGATATTTATATTGTTGGTACTGTTGTTATAAAATCCCTAAAGTGGTGAACTTCATTCGATGATATCTCCGCGAAAAAAAAAGATTTGTCAAATTTGGAAAATGCGTTGCAAAGGACAGAAGCGGTACTTTAAGATGATCAGATTCGTTTTCAGCAAAAAAAATGCGGTGTAATATAGCCTCTAAAACAGCGAAAATACGTGTTTTTCTCACTTTTGGGTTAGAATATCTCGAAAACGTAACGCGATAGGGCATTTCTGATGCCAGATTCCTGTTCAGCGCATCAAAAACCTTCGGAATACGCGAATAGCGTTCTTGCGATAACTCAAAACTTTTTTTTTGCAGATCTGTGTAATTATATCCGGAATCATTGTAAACTTCATGTTCAAATATCTCGATAATTAAGTAATACTTCTTAATTCCTGAAAATGCAAAAATTGCCCTTGAGTTGATTTGAATTACCCAGTCAATTGCAATGACAATTAATAAATTTTTCATATGAATAATATTAAAAAACTATAGTTGCGCATGCGCAATCAAGTTAAGGATATCTCATCGGGTTTGATAATGCCACTATCATTACCTATAATAGAAAGTAACTAATCATCAAATATTTTTCTTTATTATATGTAAACGATTTTTAACTATTTTTTCCATTACAATAAAGGTCATCTTATTTTATTTGAAAATTATTACATAAGAGTTTCATTGGACACTGACTTATGAGGTTAATTAATGTTCTTATTTTATAGAATTAGAACAATTATAATTTAATCGCTACATATTTTGACATTGGTTTCTCTGATAAAAAATACCATCCAATATGATATGAAAAATAGCGGCGTTGTCAAATATTTCCGATACGATACAGACTTGATTTAATTGCGCATGCGCAATACGAGAATCGTATAAATGCTATAGCTATTTAATAATTGTCACATTAAATTGATGAATTGTCATTGCAATCGATTGAGCAAATTAAATCATCTTAAAGGCAATGTTTTGCATTTTCAGGAATTAAGAAGTATTACTTAATTATCGAGATATTGACGCTTGAAGTTTGCAGTGATATCGGATATAATTATTAATTTTTGTAAGTACAGTGAAAGTGGGAAAATAAAATAAATAATGCAGTTGAATTTGGCAATTAAAAAACTAAGGGTTTACACGTTTAAATATTTTTTTTTGCATTAATTTGCAGGCTGGATCGGGGGAGGTCAAGGAACGCCGATTAAACTGCAGTAATTTAGGGAATAATTTCTAAGTATCCGAGAAGATATTTTTGTACGGAAACACTATCAAGGCTGATGATTGGTTGGTTCTTTGCTACATTTGGTTAGTCCTGAATTTTGGACGATTTGTTGCTAACTTATCCCTAATTTGGTTTTGGGTTATTGCTTTACTTCTAATTTCTGAACTGTTAAAAATACCATGAATAGTACTCGACTTGAACTGCCAATGATCTAATTATAGTAACTGTAATCAAATCAGTTCCTTCAAGTATTTTAACTGCAATTTTCATTCAAGTATTTTAACTATAGTTCACCTGAATAGTTAGATTGGTTCTTGATTAATTGTTTGCAACTTGTTGATTTTAATATACCAATAAATAAAAAAAAAGCAGATACTTCAAATCGCCTGCAATATCAATGATTATTATTCATTATTTATAGACAAGCTAATATTGAACAAATGAAATTGATCTGACAAATGAATGAGCAATTAAAAATTAATTAATTAACATTTGTTTTCTTTACTTTCCCTATACCCGCTGCCCTCGTGTTAGTAGTTATTACTATGAGAACTAATCATTGACGGCTCATAAATTTAATGTGGATAATAAATACATAATAATTAATTACTATTTAAATAAAAAAGTTTGATTAAAGAACCATTTTATATCCGTAAGGAGCATTTGTGGAGCAATTTTTTATGTTTTGCTAATAAATAAGTAAAGACAACGAGACCTTAATTTTGAAACTATCAGACATAGTAAGACTTTAATGTGTCAGAAACATTCTGTGAGCATCCTTAAACCGGTTAAAAACATGGAAGCTAAATATTTTTTTATCCATTCTTTTATGAAATTGTGTACATTGTGTATAACAATTGTGTACATGTTAATTTTTCATAAGTGTCATAAATAAACTTAAATATATATTTTCATTGTATTTGTGCTTTATTCATGAATTTTTAACTAAAAGTACCATTTTCGCAAAAAAGAAATTATTCAATTCAGCTATTGTAAAAAATAAAATCAATTATTTTGTTTTTGTCATTTTGTGTTTGTTTGAAATATTGTTAATAATATATTTTATGATTATTTTATTACATAATTTTGTTTTGTTTGAAATCTAGAAATTGTTATATAGACTTATGAAATAAAGAAAGTGTTTTTATGGTATTTTTATGTATTTATTGAATGACTGACTATTAAATTAAATTTCATGTTGATAAAAAAATTTTAAGTTAAACTAAATTTAAACATGTGAATAAGTTACATAAATACTAAATTAAGCATGTGAATAAGTTACAAAGATAATAAGTTAAACAGTGATCAATTATAAATTTAAAAATGAATAAATAATTTTTAATAAATAAATAAATAATAAATAAATAATTTTTTAACACAAATTACAAACTAATGTGTAGGATCATCATCACAATAATATGAATCACTAAGATTATCACTGGAATCTGTCTCCTCTTCTATAAGAATCTCTTCATTTTTTCCAAGCCGCTCTTGCTTGTTGCCATAGTTGTTGTTGATATAGGCCCTTATTTGTACAATAGTTCTCTCTTCCAAACTTTTGCATTTTTTCACAATATCCTGTATATAAGCAGTACTAATTGTTAGTGGCAATCCATTTACCTTAATATGATCTGAAATTGTATTTTTTTCTGTTTTAGACCAACAGCGAATAACTAAAAGGAATGTATATGATTATTTTCTGTGATATTTTTAAAAATACTACTGCTAATAAATTGTATAGTAATTTATAGTAATGTTACCTCTTTTCTTGTTCTTTGGGGCATCATCAGACATTTCTGGATATGGTCGTTTTATTCCTATGGCTTTCTTTTCAGCTTTTTTTTTTGCTTTCTCAGCTACTTTTATTGAAAGGAAACTTTTTCTAGGTAAAACTTTTTCAATGTTTTCTTCATTTTCACTCAATTGTGAGTTTATAGAATCTGGAATATATTTACAAGTACATATTTGAAAATTAGATAAATACCAATTTAATTAAAATTATTGAATGAAGTAATTTAAAGTTGTTACGTAATCTTTTAGCATGTTAGTTACAAAAGCAACATAAAGTTCACATGTAAGGGCAAATTATCAAACGCAACAAGAAGAAATAGAAATCCAAGGAACTGCTTATTCAAGAAATATACAAATATAAGAAATATACTAAAATATTAACAAATAATATACATTGTAACTTTTTTTTATTACTAAAATTTGGCTTGTATATTAGTTAAAAAGAGAATGAGTTATTTTTCAAATAATATTTACATAAATCTTGAAATTCAATAATTTTGTGTACTTAATTAATCAATTTAAAAATCAATAGTTATCTGAACAGTGACTTCTATAAAAACATAAGAAATAAAATTTAATATTAAGAAGATTTCTCTGAATATTTTATTGAAAATTAATTTATTGTAAAATGGCGTGATTTAACTATTAATAAATATATTGCAATGACAATATGATTTATTTTCAAAAGTTCATCATGAATATATCAGTTTAACTAAACTTATTATAATTAGCAACCTGTCATAATTATATTCAAGGGAAAAATTTATCCATTACCTTAAATGTCACTCTTAAAATATCTTTAAATTCATACCTATCTGAGGTGGTAACTAAGACTCAACACCAATATTTCATCAAGAACAATATCTTCTTATTTGATATCTGCTGCAGGAGGCTAGTAACAGTATTGTCAAAAATATAAAGCTTAAGACAATCACATAAAGCATTTAAGCATTTAGAAGCATGTTGTACAGTCAGGTTCAAGGTTTCAAGGAAATTAATTAAGGAGAACTATATATTGTTAGTACATAATTTTTACAGTTAAAATATCATTGTTAAATGCATATATATTTTTAAAATAATGAAGAAGAATCAAATTTGATTATTCTGTAAAACATGAAATCAAACTTAACACTGTGATAACAGATAATTATCAATGTAAATATACACACATAAATATATAAATAAATTTTATGTCCATACCTTCTGTGTCCTGACATGGATCATATGATACATCACTATTGTCTGTTTTGTTATTTGAGGTAGATGGACTTCTAACGTTCTCAATAGATTTTAATTCTTTACCTTGGGCTTTGTTTAACATGATAGGTAACGTTAACAGTTCACTCAAATGAACTTCTTGACGGTATATAGATTTATGGATATCATAACTATGGCCCAAAAAATTGGCCAACTGCATTAATTTTCCTTCTTCTAGTCTAAGTCCATGCATCATTGTGGCAATATGCTTACGTAAAGCAGTTCCACGAATTGTTTCACAATCCTCCACACCAGAAATATTAGCATAATGCCTCAAAACATCTGATAAAATTATATAGCCATGTCTCATGGTATTATTACGCCTTTTAGCAAAAACGTAGATATTCTTCTCATCTATACCAGCTTTAGTTCTATACTGCAGTAATAAATTTATGCTGTCCATTAAATTTTTATGAACTATAAGACCAACAGTACGTAACGCTTTTTTATTTGTTATTTTTAGCCTATAGTAGTCTTTAAGAGCTACTTTACAATCATCAGATAATTCAAGATAACGTGGATCGTTGCAATCATCAAGGATTTTAAAAGCTCCATTTATGTCATCTAATTCTAATCTTGACAGCTCTCCTTGGCGTTTCCTATTAAAAAGCATTAATAGCAAGGCTGTTGTGTTATTAAGTTCTTTCCATACAGTTATATCAAAACCGTTTTTCATATTATTAAAAGCATTTAGCCATGACTGTTCCACAAACTCGCAAAATTCTTTTATATTTTTTACGTTCGGCATTTTTTTGGGTGGAGCTTTTTTTTCTATTTTTAATTGCATATCTCGACTTTTCTTGTTTAATCTTTTACTCTTACTTTTGATTAATTTTTCAAATTTTATGGCATTTTCTCTTCGTGTCTCCCAAGCGTTTTCAATACAAAAAGGCAAATAAAATTCTAAGAATTTGTTGATAATATTACTAATATCTTTAGGTTTGTTAAATTTTTGGATCATACCAGATTCTTCATTCATTTCGGATAATTGATATATACTTTCTTGTAGTACTGGAACTACAGTGGGATGAATAATATCTTTGAATTCTGTAATATTTTTGACTATTTCCTTATGCACTGGGTTAGTATTGGATTGAACTGTCTGAAATAGAGTTGCTAATACACGAGCATGATGACTTATCATACTGTAATTTTGATCATGGCTGTAATGATCAACGCAGTCGTTAACATATTGCACAATTAATGCATCAGAGACTGCTACATCTCGTACTTCGCCCAAAATCATATTTGAAAATATAAGGTCACGTGCTCTTTTCGTTGCAAGAGGGTGCACATCAGGAATCAATCGTTGGCACATCGGTAGTAAATCTTTTGCATTAGGAGCTCTTACCACATTTTGTAAGTTGCATTTGTGCCTTTTCATTAAATTTCGCCTTATTACTTTGAAACAATCTTTGCATGGTACAAAATTTTCGCCAGTTAAATTTGGCAAATTTGTTTTATATGCTACTGGTAATTTAGTTTTTTCATCCATACCCATTTTACAATCAGTTATGTCTTCAGGCCACTTTAATTCACCTGACTCTAATTGCTTACATTTAATAATTCTATATTTATTAGGTCTTCGCCCCACAATCATTTCTTCATCATCTGTTTTCATGTAATAATTATAGTAATAATTTCCATAATTAATATGATATTCGACAGTACACTTAAAGACTGTCTTTCCCCTAGCTTTAGCTTCTTTAAACACTTCTTCTCCTGCATGAACTTTGGTCATATGTCGATGTATTTGATCAACAATTTTCTTTTTGCAAAAAATACAATAATGAAATTTTCCTGTACGTTTTTTATCAATGGTAGGTCTATTGACAAAAAAAATTTTATTCTGAGCTTGTGGAGTTCCAGGTTTGTTTAGATCAGAAACAGTCTTTTTTATATGAATTATATCCTCACTTGATAAAATAACTATTTGCTTGGCTGTAAAGAAAAATATCTATAATTATAATTTGACACTTTATATTACATACAAACTAAAGTATTGCACAAAAATTTTCCAGTAGAATGTTATTATATTTTTTTAAGTTGATAAAAATTATGAGTTGTTATTATAATGAAAATCCCAAAAAAATTTGTACATTGTCTAAAATAAACAATTTCAATTAAGAAAATACTTGCATTTGGTTTTTGATTTTCCAGTAGATGTTGATTTTTGTTCATTCTCAGTTTTATTTGTTAAGTTTTGATTACAATCTCGTTTTTGATTAATAAGATCCTCTTCTATTTGAGTGGTATTTTTCTTTGCAAGATCTATTTCTCCTGTTATCAATTCAACTGAATGTTGATTATTAAAATTCAAGATTTCATTCGTATCAAAATTTAAATCTTCACTTCTATCCATTATATCATTTTGTGATTTTCCATTCTCACCTGGTCTCCAATCTAACATATTTTCACTGTATGAAATCTCTTCGGCATTAAAATCAGTAAACACTTCAAAGTGTTTAAAAACATCTTCACATTCAATAGAAGTAGCTTCCATGTGAGGCAAAAGTATACCTTGATCTATTTGACTTTTACATGAAGTAGGAGAACTACTATTAATTGTTCTATTTGATGAGTGTGTGATATTCAATTTTCTAAAAATGTCATCATTTTTTGAGGACAAAATTGAAGAATTTTCGTCTTCTTCAACATATCTTTTATCACTTAATTGTAAATTCTTATTTTGGCTATCGTTTAATTCCTTATGAATTATATTTTCTTTATTGAGGCTAATAATAGAAGTAGAGAGCATAGTGCTTTTCAGAGAAGCATTTAATTCTATCTCAACTTGTGGTAAATTAGCATTTAAGTTTTCTGCTATACTAGAAAAAATAGATTTATTTTCTGCAACAAGACATTTATAAACGAATTAAATATATTTAAGAATGCTTAACAAATATATAAAAGTAGGTATAAACAGTGCAAAATAAGGACGATAGAAATATTCAATTATACCATTAAATCCAATGATCTCGCAGTCAGTAGGACGTTTTGCATTCTTCAATTTAAATGATCCCCAGCCAGGCCGCTTGATCTTTACAAACTTTGCTGCTATAGCAAAGAAGCGTCCACTTTTCAGCTTTATAAGAGCAGCTTTCGTTGAACTCATTTTCATTAAATCCAATTCCAAAATAACTGTTCTGTAAAAATGATAAAAAAAATAATATAAAGATATCATAAGATAAAGAATTAAATATTAAATTTGAATAAAAGGTTATGTGTGTGATTATGCCCCAATAAAATGCTTTTAATAAATAAAAGATGTGTGATTTAAAATAATGTAAATAGTAGCACTATATTTTTGATAATAATTGAGCCTATAATTAGGCTTATACAATGATGGAATCGGATAATATAATATAATATATAAATACGGCATAAATATAGATAATATTATGGAGATTATCATATCTGTGATACTTACCTTAATATTCAGAATACTTAAAATTCAAAATATAACGTTTATAGATAAAGTTTTATTCACAGAACTATAAAATAATTTTTTAGCCCAAATTTACGATGCTCTTCCACTACATTATCTTATTTCTTATTAAATATAAAAAAGCAAAAGACGCCAACGTGATAGATTAATCTAGATTGCCATACAAATTAAGGCATTAGCAAATAAAATAATATAAGAAACATGTATTTATATAAAAGAATTTAAGTGATTGCGCACTATGTTAAATAGAAAATACAATCGTAAAAATACTCGTATATATATATTCTTGATTATACATTTTGTATAATTAATTTATGAATTTCTATAAAAATTCTCGTTCCAACACTTATTCAGACATGTAATCATAGGTATCGATCCACGTTTCTTGATACTTATTCGGACTGTCTTCATAAGTGCCTAATTATGAAGTGAATAACGTAAAACTTATGTAGTCGTCGTCTTAAGTGACAAAATGTAAGCATAAGTACCGATCAAAATTGCATTTGTTAACATAAGTGCCTATTAACATATATATATATATATATATATATATATATATATATATATATATATATATATATATATATATATATTGCAACGATTGCCGAAAATCGTGTGACTCGCGCGAGGTTAACGAGCGGCTAAATGTAAGTAGCCGCGCTCGGTTCGCGAGAGAGAGAGCGCGTAAGGGGCATTGACCGGGAGGGGAGGTAGCAACCGGCAGTACGACTGTGACACTCAGTCAGCTAGCGCGCCTAACCTCCACCCGTTTCGAAGTTTTTCGTATTTGCCGTTGACTTTTCCTGGTGACATTGCGTGAGTGGGTGAGAGTGCAGCTGCAGCAGCAATAGCAGTAGCAGTGACTGCGATAGCAGCAACAGCAGCAGCATCAACAACGGCAACGACAATAGCGACAACAACAACAGCAGCGACAGTAATCGAGTGGTGCAGCAAGCAGCGGAACAGCGAGTAACAGCGTGTTATTCGGATACGGTTGGCCACCGTATCCACGCCGTCGTTGCGGTAGGTGCACCTTCCCCTTTCTAATTGTTGTAACAATTTGGCGTGCGAATCCGCGCAGCGAGCGCGAAGAATTTGTTGTTGCGAGCGAGTAGGTAGTTCGCGATAATCGCGGTTTTCTTTTCTCTCTCTCTCGAATAGCGTGTATTGTCATTCACGCGTGCGTGCGTGAGACTCTTGGCATTCCCTCCGTGTAATTTATTTTATTAAATAAATCATTCGTGGTTTTCCATTTAAACGAGTTTCCGTTATTGTGTTTAATCCTTTGTCCGGAGGTCGCGCCCAGCTTTGTTTACATTGTATTCGAATTCGCCGGTAACGCAGCACGAAGTGTGTGAGACGTTAGGCGGGAATCCTCAATCTAGGTTCCGATAGCGGCCGCACGAGCGCTACTAGCAAGAGCGACAGCGCCGCCAAGTGGCGAGTTGGGGGAACCCAACTCGGAACTTTGAAGAGACTCTGCGCAGGCGCACTCCGAGGTAAGGTAGGTTAATGCGCATCAAGCGCATAGATAACAAGGCTTCGTATAGTTGAAATACGGGCACTTTTAGGAGATTATCGACTAAACGACAGCCTGTTACATGGCGCCCAACTAATTTAGGACTCACACACGAGGGAAAGTGCACAAATAAAGAGAGCAACGCGCGCGAGAGAGAGACGTTTGCGCGCGCGCGTAATAAGGTGCGAGCGGGTAAAATAGCGCGTGGCTCGTTCGGTACGTGCTCTGCGGTAGGGGAAAGACGCCTCTCCGACCCAATAATACCTGCTTTTGTGAGCCGAGAGCACACTAACCCCAAGGGTCGAAGAGACGTCCGTAGTCGCTCTAACGAGAAAATAAAAGGTGACTAAGGGTATATAGGTTAACTTTTTACTTTTTTAAGTGTTTTAATTACACATTAAGGTAATTAAGTGGGGGTGAGTCACCGAGCGACAGTACCAGCAGAGCGCGGAATAGGGGTGTGTGTAGGGTTAGATTAACTAACCCGGTGGAGCTAACAAACAGTTAGCCTCCACCTATAGGCAGGTAGTTGCGAAGCGGAAGTTCGAACTTCCTTAGAGTGCGCGATACCTGCACACACCCACAAGCCACGCGTATTGTTGCCTTGTGAATAAAGGCATAATTGGGTGGTTGGCGATAATAATCGCAACACCCCGCTCGCGCCTTGGGCGATAGGAGGCGGTAGTGGTCGACTAGGGTAAATTAACCTCAACCGTCACCTACGCCCCAGCATAAGCGTCATGGAGGATACCGCCGACGCGATAACCCGGTGGGCTTCGGAACTGCCTTCGACACAGCTGGACAGATACCTGACGCAACTGGAGTTGCGCACAGATGGTCCTAGGCTGATGCAGGCAGTCCGATTAGCATATTGGTTGCTAGGCGAGTACATCGACCTAGACTTCCAAGGAGCGGCGTTGGATAGGGAGGCCACACAACGCAGGCGACGGAGCCGCGAGAGGTGGCTGGAGACCAAGCGACGCGAGTTGGAAGCAGCCGACGCCGAGGATCTTGTCGCCCACCCACTCATGCTGCTATATAGAGATGAGGCGGTGGAGGCGAACCTAACGCGGACTCTCGCCGTCTACGAGAACCTCAAAGAGGAGAGCCAGAGCGAGATGGGGGAGCGAGAGCCCGCAGAGGAAGGGGGGACCGGCGAGGTTAAGGGGCCCACGGAGGGGGTCGAAGGTGAGCACAAGGGCTCCACCGGATCGCCAGATAGGCGAAGAGCCCGACGCTTCGAGAATGAGGAGTTACAGCCTCAGGAAGAAGAAGAGGAACGGTGCGTAACTGAACGATTGAAAGAGGAAATCGAGCGCAACCGTGTCGGGATCAACCGCATACTTGAGATGCTGGAAAGGCACGACCAAGTATGCGCACGGTGGAGTGACCAGGTCACCGCTCTGCAGGTGGAGGTCCAGCAGTTGAGAAACAGGGACCCCACCGGTCGACGAACGGTCGTACCAGAGCGGCCCAGGAGAACCGTGGATTTCCAATCCACGTATACGTGCCACTACGACCCAAGGGTACCAGGTAGTACCCCGGAACCCCAGCGACCGACCCCTGGCGAACCTCGAGAGGCTCCCCAAAGGCAGGTGCCTTCAAGGATGGAGCAGCCACCGAGAAGAGGACCTAGAGACGCCGACATGGATGAAGGGCAGGCAACCCCCGAAGGATCCGCCTGGTACGACGCCAATGCGGCGTCAGGGTACTACGCGACTCGGGACGCGGGTAGGATTGTGAGAGGGTGGAAGCTGCGATACTCTGGCACGGCCTCAGAGTGCGTGGACACCTTCTTGTCGAGGCTAGAAGATCTACGCGCAGGTTCTGGGCTAACAGATGGCGAAATCTTGTGTTCGGTATCAGAGCTCCTCGAAGGCGTAACGAGGACCTGGTACGAGCTTAACAAGCTTAAATGGAGAAGTTACGCCGACTTCGTGGCAGGCGCTCGACGTTGGTTTGGGTCGAGTGAGCTTCAGCAACAAAGGTTGCTGCAAGAGGCCCAAGCTCGGTACCAGGAGAAAGGAGAGCTGGTACGAGAATATGCCTGCCACCTTCTCTTCATGTTAGCCCAGCTGCGTCCGCCGTTACCAGAGCAGAGGCAGTTGGATTTGCTATATGCAAATCTCCTACCCGCCATCCGGATGCAGCTGCGAAGGAATGCGTTTTCCAACGTGGACGAATTTCACGCCCGGGCGACCGAAATCGAAACCGCTTTGCGGGACGACGAGCGCCCGAGGACTAGGCTGGAGCCAACGTCCACGTTATACCCCGAGCACATGGGGGTGTCAGCGAAGGCACCACCGCCCCGGGCAGGACCCCGAACGGCGGCCATGTCCAGCAAGTCTCGGGGTAGGGAGCAGAGGCAACCCGAGTCGCCGGTTAAAACCCCGGCCAAGAGACCCGAGGACCGGCCGACAATCGCTGCAGCGCAGGCAACAGACCCCATTGAGGATCTGTCGTCGCAGATTGCGACCCTGCGGCGCGATATGGACCGGTACTTTAAGGAGAGGAAGGCTAACTCTCCCAGGCGGCCGAGGGGTCGGCCGCAAGAAAAGGGGAGGACTAAAACCCCCCCAGGGTCTCCTGGCCAGCGACGAGAGGGTCAGCGGAGGAAGATAGACTACTCCCAACCGATCAAGTGCTCGTCTTGTGGCAAACTGGGCTTTACCAGGAGGTACTGCCCGGATTGCAACAAGGGAAACGGGCAGGGAAGCGGAGGACGGAGGTCCCCTCCGCGTCCCCAGTAAAGGTGACCTCTCGTCGCGGGTCGCTGGAGCGGGGCAGGGGCCCGCCAGCGACCCCAGGGTTCAGGAAGGTCTCGTCCGGGATATCGGACCCCACGAGACCCAGCAGGACAGCGGCATTAGAAGCGACAGCGACCGAACAGATGCCTGATCTGGGTGACCGGGCATTTTGTATCCTCGAAGGGTACGGAGGCCGGATTCAGGTGGTGGAGCAGGGGTTTGAGTGGGCCGGAGAGGAGACCACTGGACCCAAAAGCTCCAGGAGACCACCTGACGCTCCGGAGGATACGCCCGCGACCCAGACACCTGCGGGAGAGAGCACGTCGACGCAAGTAGCGGCTGCCCAAGGCAAGAAGAGCCGTGAAAGCCCCCCGTCCACAGAGGGGAGAGGGACGGCGAAAGCTCCCCGCAGGTACAGACCCGAGGATGAGACCAGGTGGTGGCTTCAGGTGGGAATAGGTGCCTATAAATTAAGGGCACTCTACGACACCGGGGCCTCATCAACGGTGATGGGTCAACTCGGGCTAAGGTTGGCATCTGATATGGGACTGGGCCTGGACGTCACTCGAGCGGGAGAGGCGAAGCTCGCTGACGGCCGTCCGTGTCCCATCCTGGGTCATGTGATTTTCCCCTTCACAGTAGGGGGAATCACCAAAGATGTAAGGGTCGCTATAACGCCACTGCTGTCTGATGACTGCTACGTCGGCGCGAATTTCGTAAGGGAATTCAGCGCCAACCTGAACCCTGACACGGACCAGCTGTACTTGGCAAAAGCCAAAGTGGCGGTACCGTTAGAAGTGGCAAGCGTCACTGGTACGTCATACCTCGCACCCGTGGGCCTAGTAGAAGCCACGGAAGCACAGCGCCAAGA